TCAGCATGGATTCACCAAGGGCAAATCATGCCTGACTAATCTAATTGCCTTCTATGAAGAGATAACTGGCTCTGTGAATGAGGGGAAAGCAGTGAACGTGTTGTTCCTTGACTTTAGCAAAGCTTTTGACAAGATCCCCCATAGTATTCTTGCCAGCAAGTTAAAGAACTATGGGCTGGATGAATGGACTATAAGGTGGATAGAAAGTTGGCTAGATTGTCGGGCTCAACGGGTAGTGATCAACGGCTCCATGTCTAGTTGGCAGCCGGTATCAAGTGGAGTGCCCGAAGGGTCGGTCCTCGGGCCGGTTTTGTTCAATATCTTCATAAATGATCTGGAGGATGGTGTGGATTGCACCCTCAGCAAGTTTGCAGATGACACTAAACTGGGAGGAGAGGTAGATATGCTGGAGGGTAGGGATAGGATACAGAGGGACCTAGACAAATTAGAGGATTGGGCCAAAAGAAATCTGATGAGATTCAACAAGGACAAGTGCAGAGTCCTGCACTTAGGACAGAAGAATCCCATGCACCGCTACAGACTAGGGACCAAATGGCTAGGTAGCAGTTCTACAGAAAAGGACCTAGGGGTTATAGTGGCCGAGAAGCTGGATATGAGTCAACAGTGTGCCATTGTTGCCAAGAAGGCCAATGGCATTTTGGGATGTATAAGTAGGGGCATTGCCAGCAGATCGAGGGACGTGATCGTCCCCCTCTATTTGACATTGGTGAGGCCTCATCTGGAGTACTGTGTCCAGTTTTGGGCCTCACACTACAAGAAGGATGTAGAAAAATTGGAAAGCATCCAGCGGAGGGCAACAAAAATGATTAGGGGACTGGAACACATGACTTATGAGGAGAGGCTGAGGGAAGTGGGATTGTTCAGTCTGCGGAAGAGAAGAATGAGGGGAGATTTGATAGCTGCTTTCAACTACCTGAAAGGGGGTTCTGAAGAAGATGGATCTAGACTGTTCTCAGTGGTAGCAGATGACAGAACAAGGAGTAATGGTCTCAAGTTGCAGTGGGGGAGGTTTAGGTTGGATATTAGGAAGAACTTTTTCACTAGGAGGGTGGTGAAACACTGGAATGCGTTACCTAGGGAGGTGGTGGAATCTCCTTCCTTAGAAGTTTTTAAGGTCAGGCTTGACAAAGCCCTGGCTGGGATGATTTAGTTGGGGATTGGTCCTGCTTTGAGCAGGGGGTTGGACTAGATGACCTCCTGAGGTCCCGTCCAACCCTGATAGTCTATGATTCTATGATGTACCTTTCAGAACTTCTATGGTTCTATCTCGCTTAATTTAGCATATGGGTTACCTTTTTGGTTATGGAGTCTCAATTTATTGCTCAAGAAATTAGGAAGTGGTCTAAGATCTCTGTTTTATCTAATTCATGATCCATTCCTTGCAAGTAGTCTCAGTGATAGCCTAAACTCTATCATGAAAATAAAATAAGGAATGATTCATAAGAACTCCTGTTCTGTGCCTTAACCATTTGACATCAAGATAAGTAATGTCTACACCCTCAACCCAACTTTCTTCTCTAAAATGATCCAGAGATTTTCTTCCCAAGTTCCATTCCGACCCAAGAATTGAACTCCCTGGACACAGTTCCTCAGTGCAGTAGATTTAGTTTTTTTGAGATAATTAAACAAGGCCACAAGTCTTTCAAACAAATTTATGACTGACATTTGAAGATGTATGAATGATTTGTTAGTCATAATTGAAGTGATTGGAATGAAAGCCACATTTACAATTAAAAGAATTTTATCATGTTTTTAAAAATAATTACTAAAATATTTTTGGTTATGTTTTCCTAAGAAAAGCTCCCTATTTTTCAGCTCTTTGTTAGGTGCTCTTCATCTTCTTGTTAAGCTCCACTGATATGCTTGACACAATGAAAAAGCTTCTTTAGTTATCAGAGAACCCTCAGAAAACTTGCAATCTGAGAAACACTGCAGACTGAATGGGTTTTTTTTCCTTCTTGAACATCAAACTTTACAGTTGCTGCAGGGTATGAGATGATAGACTAGAGCAGATCCTGCAGACAGATGGATTAAGTTATCTAGTACAGAACGCAGAGTACGTTTAGTGAATGTCCTAACATCCAGAAGCCCTGTTCCTCATACCCATTATCTAAGCATACGTCTGCTGTGATGTGTGTAGTTATGACTGTTTTTTATTTACTTCACATTTAAAAGGACACCAACAACTTGAGAGCTAGTCAGTTAAAAAAAAAATTCAGGTCCGACCCAATCTCCTTAGCCTCTCTGGTTTTATTTTACAAGTATATTTTCCCTATTTTTTGCTTTTCTCTTTCCCGTGGTATGTGAAAGACTCATACAAACAACAGGAGAAACCAGGGGCCCACTCTTGCAAGTCCTTAGAGACATAAGTAACTTTACTCATGTGAGTAAAGCTACTAAAATACATACAAACGGAAACAGAGAAAAATGATTTCCTCTTGTCTCTTTCTATGCAATTGTTTTAGGTGTTCTTTGTAATAATTGATCAAAATATTTTAGACTGAAGTGTGGTTTTTCAAGCTGACCGTGTTCCTTTAAACGTAAAATGTCTGTCTGCCTGTCTCCGAGGGGACAGAGTTGTCAGACATTCAGATCCTAAAGTGATGACACAGTATAAACACCTAGAGATCAATTAATTCAAGGCGAGCACTTTACAGACTGAAAGCACATGGTTTTACCCTCTGTTTTGGAAACATAACAGGCACATTCACCATATAACTTTGTGTATTGTTGTAGTTTAGTATATATAAAGGTATTTCAGCACCAGACAAGCCTCACAGTGATAGACATGGATTACAGCCAGACAGCATTTCAGTACATCATATTATCCTTTATAAACATTAATCACCAAGAAAACCTCAAATTATAAAAATAAATGTATGGAGGAAAATAAAGGTTAGTTCATATTTCAGAGACATGTGGCATGCTTTTCTCTTGGTTCTATTTATTTTAGTAAAATGCTCAGATTCCACACTGATGAGTGCAGTATTAGAACTTGGGTAGACGGAAGAGTGATTTAGATAAACTCTCTCCAAAAAAGGCCCAAAAAGAATTTGAAGCACTAGCAAAAGACACGAAAACTAGTAGCAAAAATGTGTTTAAGTACATCAGAAGCAGGAAGCCTGCCAAACAATCAGAAGGGATAATCGAGCTGCTAAAGGAGCAATCAAGGAAGACAAAGCCATTGCAGAGAAGCTAAATGAGAGATACCCTCACCTGAGCCATTCTTTTTAGGTGACACATCTGAGGAACTGTCCTGGACAGAGACGTTAATAGACATTGTTTTTGGAACAAAATAACAAATTAAACAGTAATAAGTCACCAGGACCAGATGGTGTTCACCCAAGAGTTCTGAAGGAACTCAAATATGGAATTGTAGAACTAATAATTGGAATATGTAACCTACCACTTAAATCAGCGACTGTTGGAAGACAGGATCCTGTGCTAGATGGACGATTGGTCTGACCCAGCACGGCCATGCTTATGTTCCTACATTTGTGTGGCACAGTTGGGAATACAACCAGTATCTTTCAACTCATAGTTGCTAGCGATATCCCCCAGATGGTGCTGTCTCTCTGAATAGCTGGGTCACAGCAAGAAGATCAAAAGCAGCCTTCCACTATTGCAACTCAAGCATGTGTAACATTTGTGTGTGCAGGAGCTTGTGCACCTGCATTAGGTTTCCAGTACATTGCTGGGTAACAGCATTTAAGAATCTCCTTGGTACCTCTCTGCACCAGAAACTCTCACGATGCAATTCCCCAGTCACTATAACCGATTTCAAATGGTGCTAGAAAATAGTATTGACTCTGAACACCAAAAGAAATCAGTCATCCTTTGAAGGGGTTATTGGGAAACGCTGCGAAGAAGAAAAAGCCAAGTCTAGTATATTTATAGCCATTAATTAATCATCACACCACTACTGTCATTAGACAAATATTATACACATTATTATTGATGTCTAAATGGAGTCACAAAGATGTTTGGGTGCAAATTTTCAGAAGTACTCAGTGTGTGTGCCTCAAATTTTGTATAACTAACTTTAGCCATCTCAGCCAAAATCCTTCAACGCCGGGTGCCAAAATTAAGCACCGTAATCCATATTTAGCCAACTAAATGAGTGACCTAGTTTTCATAGATACTAATACCGGCAGCCTCCATTAACTACGATGGGAACTGTGGGTGCTCAGAACCTATGAAAATCAGAGCACAGGTGGCTAAAAGCTCAAAAATTAAGCTTCCTCCCACCCCCAAATGAGACAACACGTGAATATTTGCATCACAGTCCACAGTGGATCAGCAGTAGAGCTGGGAACAGCATCTAGATCTACTGACTCCCATATTACATACACAACGTCAGTTCAATCTCTTCAATAAATAAGAGACAGATTATTTTACAAGGGCAGAGTAAGAGCTAATAAATTAAACAGTATCCAGGGAGTTCTGGCAATGTGCTCATTGCCATAAAGAACATGGAACAGATGAGGCCCGTCCTGAAGAGTTTACAATCTACGATAACACTGGATGTATACTATCATAGCAGAAACAACAGTGACAAGTTATGTCTAGTATGCTGTGTCGTAATTCCACATGTCCCATTTTCACCTCTTGTAAACAACATTCCTGCCTCCAAGAGTTCACAGTACAAACATTACAAATATGCTGTTGCTCAATATCGTGATAGTGCAATTTTTTTCTGTGGAATTACAAACTGGGATTGTGCTCGCTTGGTTCAGTTTAACCATAGATGCTGCAGTCACAGGCGGGTGGGATACAGACAATACACGCAGATCTAGCAGTTATATCCTATATTGAAAGCATGTGTCAGAAGCCTTGATCTTCTTTTCCATATGCCATCAAGATTTCCCAGAATTCAATTCCTTCGCTGACGGAAGGGCAGCCATTCTTCCTCCAAGAACACTGATTTCAAATGGTGCTAGACACCGAGTAGTTAAATCTAAACCACCATATGAAACCAGCTTCCTGAGGGAGCTTCAGAGAGTTTTCTATCTTAGATGAGACTTCCTGTTACTACAGTGAACTTGATATGACCTAGAAAACAGGCACGTACAATTTGTTTTGCATTTATTTCCTTTACATTAAAGAAATGGCGATTTTTAATATTACTTCCTCGTTCTGGATTGAGCCATACAATGCAGAATTTTTATGTCCCATTTATACTGTTACCAATGCAAACAAGAATCACTGATAGCAAAATGAATGACCATGCTGCAGGATTCCATTACTCAAGACCTGTGAATGTCTACCAGAATTTCATTATTTGCTGGATTAATACTGAAAGACTGATCTATAGCCTCGCCCCATTATTTTCCTCTTCTCCTCATTCTTTCTGCAATCCACTTGCCCGGAGCTTCATTATCACTAAATGTGTTAATGAGACTGGCATTACTGCAGATCTTCACCATGGGGGTGGCAAACGTGTGAACCTAAAGGTGTGGCATATCTCCTGTCAGAGGCTGAGTTCACTCAATTCCCAAGGGCTCCACAGGCAATAGTAACAGCGGGAGCACTAGTGTGGACTCAGTGCAGCATATTAATCACTGTATTGTCTAGATTTGCTTTAAACAGAGTGATATGACAGAATCCAGAGACAGGATTACACTAGTGCTCTCACCATTGCTAGAGCTGAACCAGCCTTAGCAGTGGTAGGAATTTTTAAGGAAAAAAGTGTAGGGACAAGCCTGACATCAGAACACGGCTTTTGCCAGCTGGGCTCAAGCAGGGGTCCTGAGAAGCATGGGCAGGGGTTTTTTCTTAGAACAGTGCTAGACAAACTGTGTTACAGATTACTTACTCCCGTAGAGTTGATCCAAATTTTGTCCATCTGACCCAGTTAGAACAAACTTGTTTGAATTATGTCCATATAGCAGCTTTATGCACAACACAACCATGCACTGATCACATATGTGTATCCACACAGACCACGCTTCCTATGTTTGTACGGCTGCGTTCTGGGAACAGCTGGGCAGCTGTTTCATAATGCGTCAGCAAAGGAATAAGTTACCCAGAGGACATGCACACAGTGTGACAACAGCACCATGTGGGGCAATGTTTGGCTGGTTTGTGACCAGGCACAGGTAGTTCAGAGGAAGGAGGACTGGCCAAACAGGCTATGCAGGCAGGCACAGTTAAGAGTCCCATCTGCACAGCAAAACAACTGGTGTTAACAAGCAAGACAACAATGCACCAGTCTAGGCCTCTTGCAAGTGTGCAACATAGTCTGTCACCCTGGGTACTAAAAGAATGATAAACCCTAGCTTACGCACAGCCACACACCATGTTTAGAGCAAACCATGCCACTACCTGGTTATCAACCCGGTGAAAAGGCACAATTTTAGTACAAGGTTTGCAGACAAAAAAGTGCCTGTTCATAAAAATCAGGGAACCCATAACGTAACTTTGCGAGGAACAACTGCGTTTACACATGGTTACAGATTGCTCCCAGGGTTCTGCTCCTACTGTGTGTACAGGGCCTGGATACAAAATGCTAACGGTTAACACAGTTTAAATACAGTGATTTTACCCTGTAGACAGGTGTTCTCAAAGCATGTTACAGAGCCTTGGGCTTTGCCAAGCTATGGCACGATTCATGAAAAGAGCTAAAACAGCATTTGGTCCCTTCTATGCTGTAACACTGAACTGAGTTTTAACTGCGTCTGGCAGTACCGGGCTGTAACCAGGTCTCACAACACAGCACTTTCATAGTGTGGAAGGGACATAAGTATGGACAGGATCTACAGTGGACCAACCCAGGGCCACACAGAGACAATCCAAGGCCTTCAGACAAAAGTCTCTCTTCACACTGGTCAGGAAACCATGCTAAAAATCTAGTTAGTTACATATGTGCTGTAACTAGCATGATTCTGCACCTAGTATGGACAGCTCCTAAGGGGCTTTCAGAGTTAGCAGCCGTGTTAGTCTGTATTCGCAAAAAGAAAAGGAGGACTTGTGGCACCTTAGAGACTAACAAATTTATTTGAGCATAAGCTTTCATGAGCTACAGCTCACTTCATTGGATGCATTCACTGGAAAATACAGTGGGGAGATTTATATACATAGAGAACATGAAACAATGGGTGTTACCATACACACTGTAACGAGAGTGATCATTTAAGGTGAGCTATTTAAGGCGTGACCTTTTGTAGTGAAAATCAAGGTGGGCCATTTCCAGCAGTTGACAAGAACGTCTGAGGAACAGTGGGCGGTGAAGAGGGAGAATAAACAATGCATCCGATGAAGTGAGCTGTAGCTCACGAAAGCTTATCCTCAAATAAATATGTTAGTCCCTAAGGTGCCACAAGTCCTCCTTTTCTTCATGGGGAAATAGTTTTACTTTGTGTAATGACCCATCCACTCCCAGTCTCTATTCAAGCCTAAGTTAATTGTATCCAGTTTGCAAATTAATTCCAATTCAGAGTCTCTTGTTGGAGTCTGTTTTTGTTTTTTTTGTTGAAGAATTGCACAAGCTCCTAAGAGGGGTAATCCTTAAAGATGGAACACCTTGCCATCCACCTCACCATTCAAGAGGAATTCCGAAAGACCTGGGAGAAGAGCTTAGATCGTATGTCAACAGAACCACACTGTGTTGTAAGGAAAGGCCAGGAGTGTAACATGATTATGACACTGTCCCATCTTGTCCATGCAGGCAAATCCAAGTCAATATGGTGTCATACACAGTAAAATGTTGATGGGGCTTAAAAGAGGAGGCTCACTTCATATAGTTGAGCTTATCAGTAAGTGTAACCCACAGAGAAAGTGTTATTCAGACAGCAGGATTTGGGTGTTATTCTGTTAAGTTAATTTACACAGGCAAACATAGTTATTCGAAGAAAAAAAAAATCTTTCAAGTGTTGTAATAGTAACTCTGAATATTTCCAGAGCATTGATAATGAAAAACATTCTCAAATAAAGGCTGTAAATTAAAATATGTAATAAAAGTACAGAACAATTATCATGAGATAATCAGAGAGAAGAGATACTGGCCCATGATATGCTCTAATAGCTAGACCTTTTCGTTTCCTATATGCCCTTAAATGTCTTTTTAACCTCTGACAAATATTCTCTTGCTGTTTTCCTGGATTTGATGCTGTGAAAGGAGGCAAGTCATTTCCTGATAGACTCGGGGTTAGCTCCTCTCAGCTTACATGGACGCTTAGTGCAAGGACTTAAAAGCAGTTGTTTGGGAGTCAGAAGAGGGAGAGCTCACACCCAGGATTCACAGAACTAGGTAAAGCCTCAAGATGGGGAGCCTTCCCGGTTATGCTTTTTCTTCGTGTAAACACTATTCTTTAATCTTCAAGAGTAAATGCGAAGAAGGAGATTTGCTGACGTAGGCCCTGTTCTTAAAAGATATCAGCACATACATAACTTTATTTGTCTTGTGGGATTACTCACATGAGTAAAATTATATACATGCTTAACTCAATCCAGGATTAGGGCCTAAAACTGCTGTGTTTTTGTTGCTGAAAAATTCCACCAATTTACATGTGATTAGATAACTGAATAGCCAGTTAGAAGCATTCAAGGTCTCTATAGTTAGGCATTCCTTCTCCCCCTTGTAAAAGAATGCCTGTGGTAAAAAGTTCAAAATAAAATGTGAACCATCAGTTTATTTTTGCTAATGCAAACAACAATTGTGTGCATTATAAAACGTGACTCCAAGATTAATCATAGAGAACTTTGACTGGTAGTGACTTGGAAAGTTTTTCCAAAAGGAGTAACATTTCCGTATTGGAAATTCCTAAAAAATTAGTTTTATTACTTCCTTTTCATACACTTCCCTAATAGGAGATGTGTAAATGTACTTTGCTAGAGCTTTACGTATGACAGCTTTAGTGGATCCACCCATGAGATTGTGAAAGAACAAGTCAGCCTATAATTTTCAGACAATAGCCTGTAAGTACTTTATGTCAGACAAATTGTTCAAATTATTTTAACTTTTTTTTTTTTACTTCAATTTTGTTTGAAAAGTGGAGCTGGTGAAAGATGTCAGATTGACAACCCTGGAGAAGTCCTCTATTCACAGAACAGATACAACATAGGAAGTGATAGTGTGAGTTTTCCACACAATGCCCCACCAGTATATCTCATCCTTGACCTGCAGACAGAACCCCTATGCTCTTAGGCCTTATCTACACTACAGGGGAAATTCGATCTAAGCTATGCAATTTGAGTTACGTGAATAATGTAACTCAAATCAATGTAGCTTAGATCTACTTACCGCGGGGTCCACACTACGCGATGTCAATGAGAGATGCTCTCCTGTCGACTCCCCCTACTCTTCTCGATCGGGTGGAGTACAGGAGTCGACGGGAGAGCGATCGGAAGTCGATTTAGCGGGTCTTCACTCGACATGCTGAATCGACTGCCAATGCATCAAATAACCGCTCATCGATCCCCCGGTAAGTGTAGACAAGCCATCAGTCTCCTGGGCCATTGTGAACATGGCCCTCCACTGAAATACCAATTAGTGCTAACTGGAGTGTTTGTTCTGTGATGGTGATCTGTCCACTATGACACAAACTGAGACCATGGAGTCATTTCACAAAAACCTTCTGACACGAACAATTCTCAGTAACTTCGTATTTGGTTTGGATTCAAACCACTGGAGGAAAAAGGTTACATATCTCTTGATCAGTTCCCTGAGCCATCCATTGCCATCACTTTCACCACCACTTGCTTAATACCCTCTGATTAATAAGGAAGCTCACCAACTGTGCGAACCGTTATTATTTTTCCTCCAGTCAGAAAACAAGTGTGACGCAGTATTTTTAATTTGCTGGGCTAAGTGAGCATTTACAGGGGAACATTCGGTTCTTAATATGGGGGCAAGACTTTTATGATTCATGGGGTGAGGCACCCACACAGCCACCTTACCTCTCACCAGGATGACGTATCTGTTGCTGGTGAGGTACTTCTGAGAAAACTGAGACAAAGCTTAGTCTTCCCCCTTTAAAATAAGTAAAGAAATAAATCATGGCAATACAAATTACAGTGGCAGGTGAAACAATTTCACTCAGGTCCAAATCGTACAGCCACTCCTCAGGCAAGTCACTGGGAATGCAACTAGAGTAAGGATGAGAGTTTCATTTCACAATGAACTGAGCATCTTCAACTTCCATGAAAGCCAAGTGGCCAAATCAGGCTTTCACTACTCAGGCATTACTTAGTCCTTACTTAAAGCCAAATTTTCCAGATTTGGGTCCTAAGACTTTCCTTTGTATTTACTACTGAACAATTCTACTATCTTACAGGTGGTTACATAAGTTAATTAGGGTAAACAGCAAGAAGCAATCAAGACCTCCACAGCTAGCACCAGGAGAGCAGGGTTTGGGTGTATATAAATAGTCAGAAAGAAAAATGTGTTTTGGTAACAAAGCTGAAAGTCATTTTCTGGGATTAGAATGACATGATAAACCGTAAAAAGAACAGGAGGACTTGTGGCACCTTAGAGACGAATAAATTTATTTGAGCATAAGCGTTCGTGAGCTACAGCTCACTTCATCGGATGCATGCAGTGGAAAATACAGTGGGGAGATTTTATATACACATACAACATGAAACAATGGGTGTTACCAAACACCATCTGCTCAAGAAACTCCCTGAAAAAGCACAAGAACAAATCCGCACAGACACACCCCTGGAACCCCGAGCAGGGGTATTCTATCTGCTACCCAAGATCCATAAACCTGGAAATCCTGGACGCCCCATCATCATCTCAGGCATTGGCACCCTGACAGCAGGATTGTCTGGCTATGTAGACTCCCTCCTCAGGCACTACACTCCCAGCACTCCCAGCTACCTTCGAGACACCACTGACTTCCTGAGGAAACTACAATCCATCGGTGATCTTCCTGAAAACACCTTCCTGGCCACTATGGATGTAGAAGCCCTCTACACCAACATTCCACACAAAGATGGACTACAAGCCGTCAGGAACAGTATCCCCAATAATGTCATGGCAAACCTGGTAGCTGAACGTTGTGACTTTGTCCTCACCCATAACTATTTCACATTTGGGGACAATGTATACCTTCAAATCAGCGGCACTGCTATGGGTACCCGCGTGGCCCCACAGTGTGCCAACATTTTTATGGCTGACTTAGAACAACGCTTCCTCAGCTCTTGTCCCCTAATGCCCCTACTCTACTTGCGCTACATTGATGACATCGTCATCATCTGGACCCATGGAAAAGAAGCCCTTGAGGAATTCCACCATGATTTCAACAATTTCCATCCCACCACCAACCTCAGCCTGGACCAGTCCACACAAGAGATCCACTTCCTGAACACTACAGTGCTAATAAGTAATGGTCACATAAACACCACCCTATACCGGAAACCTACTGACTGCTATACTTACCTACATGCCTCCAGCTTTCATCCAGACCACACCACACTATCCATTGTCTACAGCCAAGCTCTATGATACAACCGCATTTGCTCCAACCCCTCAGACAGAGACAAACACCTACAAGATCTCTATTAAGAGTTCTTACAACTACAATACCCACCTGCTGAAGTGAAGAAACAGATTGACAGAGCCAGAAGAGTACCCAGAAGGTACCTACTACAGGACAGGCTCAAAAAAGAAAATAACAGAATGCCATTAGCCATCACCTTCAGCTCCCAACTAAAACCTCTCCAATGCATCATCAAGGATCTACAACCTATCCTGAAGGATGACACTCTCACAGATCTTGGGAGACAGGCCTGTCCTTGCTTACAGACAGCCCCCCAACCTGAAGCAAATACTCACCAGCAACCACACACCACACAACAAAATCACTAACCCAGGAACCTATCCTTGCAACAAAGCCTGTTGCCAACTGTGTCCACATATCTGTTCAGGAGACACCATCATAGGACCTCATCACATCAGCCACACTATCAGAGGCTCGTTCACCTGCACATCTACCAATGTGATATATGTCATCATGTGCCAGCAATGCCCCTCTGCCATGTACATTGGCCAAACCAGACAGTCTCTATGTAAAAGAATAAATGGACACAAATCAGACGTCAAGAATTATAACATTCAAAAACCAGTCAGAGAACACTTCAATCTCTCTGGTCGATTACAGACCTAAAAGTTGCAATTTTTCAACAAAAAAACTGCAAAAACAGACTCCAAGGAGAGACTGCTGAATTGGAATTAATTTGCAAACTGGATACAATTAACTTAGGCTTGAATAAGGACCAGGAGTGGATGGGTCATTACACAAAGTAAAACTATTTCCCCATGTTTATTTCCCCCCCTACCGTTCCTCACACGTTCTTGTCAACTGCTGGAAAGGGCCCACCTTGATTATCAGTATAAAAAGGATTTTTCTTCTCTCCTGCTGGTAATAACTCACCTTACCTGATCTCTCTCGTTACAGTGTGTATGCTAACACTCATTGTTTCATATTCTCTGTGTATATAAAATCTCCCTACTGTTTTTTCCACTGCATTCATCCGATGAAGTGAGCTGTAGCTCACAAAAGCTTATGCTCAAATAAATCTGTTAGTCTCTAAGGTGCCACAAGTACTCCTTTTCTTTTTGCGGATACAGACTAACACGGCTGCTACTCTGAAACCTGTCATGATAAACCATGTTAAACATTTCTCGACTAATACAATCTCCTTGCCTCTCATGTCCTGCCTGTAAATTTACAAAACAGTTATCAGTTAAGGAGTCTGAGAAATGTTTAGGAACCAGCAAAACCTTGTTTCCAAGAAACAGCCCTACATTATGGGCCCAGGTTTTCCCCTAATCAAACTTCCAATTTACCTGTTATGTAAACACAGCATATATGGATTTCAGGACTGCAAAAGAGTCTCAGAACATTTAACCCAAAAGGCCTGATTGTAAAAGCTGCTAATTATTCAAAATATTATTCAAACTGACATCAAAAGGAGCAGCAAGTACGCAGCACAAATGAAAATTGGTTTCCAATGTGTACAATTTTCTCTGTGCGTTTCTGGAACAATTCATTACTGACATCAAGGTTCAATCTCAGCATTCCGAAAGCATCTAAAGCTGATTGAGCTTTTATTCTTGTTTGTGGTGTCAGCTGAAATGCAGCTTCATAACCCTCTTTCCCCACAGTGGTCACATACAGAATGTAACAATTTTAGCTGTTACGTCTGTGTTTTGAATATAAATTGGGGAGGGTTTATTTGGGTGTGAAATGGAGATACAGGATTTTAGACCATGTTTACTGCTTCTCTTTGGACCCCATGGTCCCCAACCTATGAATAATTAACACTGGCGACTGGAAAGTCGGAGAGTTTGCCATTGCTCTTTCAACTGGGGATATGTGGCGTCTGCACATCCAATTGTGAAAGAAGTAGCTGGTTTGGCACACAACCTACGGATCTCAGAGGACTTGTCTGAGGCATGGGTCACTGGTGCAGCTGACCCGTGCCTGTTCATTGGCTCCCATCCCCATATAACCTAGTAGAAGTATCGCTGTGTAAGCAGACTGTAGCATTTGGCACTAACAAGAGTCCTTTTGAGAGATAAGCTGACTTGGATTTACTCTGGGCCATGTTTTCTGAAGCCTAAACAGGAAAGTAGAGACCCTAAAAAAAAGGCATATTTGTTACAGCAGGTTCTAGGTAGTAAAAAATTGATTTAGCTGTCCTCAAAACAGAGTCCTTAACAAATGGATTATGTGTTACTGAAAACCCATTTACATTCTGAAGGGGAAAAAAAGATGATTTGCGCTGAGATCCAAATTCAAACATTACAACCACAACTATGATTGCAAGAAATAACATTCCATACTTCCATAACTCTGTCGAAGCATTAGCTAGTTAAGCCCTGCAACACTCTTGGGGACTAAGTATTACTCTTTCAGTTTTATAACTGGGGAAAAATGAGACAGAGAATGGTGAAGTAGTATAACAAGGCCAAACAACAAGTGACTGCAAGACCCAGGAAGGGGTACTGAAGCAGTAAAGGTGCCATGGGCTTCCTGGTCCCCTCACCTTGTATCACTATCTATCTAGGTTCTCATAGCACACATATTGTCACAATATCTGACCACTTTGCTGTCAAATGCACTCTCTGGTGAGCTGAAGGAGCCGTGCTGATGGTTTCTGGAGGGCACTGTAATTAGTACCGCTTGGCTGGACAGAGGGTCACTGAGACAAGTGTTGTTAGAGTGGGAATGGCAAATGCAGGGTACTGGAGATCCTGGAAGATTCCCTGAAAAAACAGTGGCAGTTCCTTTCTAATGCTTCCTAAGGCTCAACAGTAAAACAATTCTTCACAACAGCACTCAATACAGAGATAAAACGGCCATGCTGTTACTTCACTTGTACCTTACCCATCTCTTAATTACTGCACCAATAAAATTCTCACTGACACCTCCACTCCCATAAATATTCTGAGGTCTCCTATTAGGGACTGGGCACAAACCAATGACCATTTAAAAATTTGATTCCTCTTTATTTTAAAAAACTTCCTTAAACAAAAAGCTATTGACATGTAAAGTTTGGTGTATCTCATTTTTAGAAACTGTGCTGGAAGTGGGACCATCCTCCAAGTTTTAAAATGAGAACAGACTCCAGTGCTAAAACAATACCCATGTCATTGAACACTCAAGAACCGCACCCACTGGGCAGTGGATTGGATTGCATCCACTAGTGCCTTTACTCCGTAAACTCAAAGCATGGACTCTTAATTGTTTGGCACCTCTCCATTACCTTTCGTGCTATCACTAACACTGCTAAATAAACAGCCACCCTAATTTTTCTGCCAGAGATAGTTAAAGATGACCTGCAAAGAAAAAAAATACCCTTGTGCATCGTTTTCGTGTGGTTTTGAGGATGGGTAAGGAAGGCCTGCAAGGTTTTTTCCTCCGCCATAGGAAAAAAAGTTTGTATATTTTCTTCATTTTTTATTCTTAGAAATTCAGGGCATGACTACTTTGGCAGACTCTATGACTGCAGAACTAGTAAAATGATACCTTTCAGTCTGTTGTGATGTTAAACAAGTAAGAGAGCAGGAGAGATTTTATTCTGATGTTAAATAGATGTTAATAAAAACAAATATATTGAAAGTCCAATGGCTGCCAAACACTTTGGAGAAAGGATCTCTTCATTAAAAGATTCCAACACTCCCATCTCTTCTATGAGCTGTGTGATAACTCACAAGGTAGGCAAAGAAAAAAAATCAGAAAAATGCCTTTTAACCCCCCCTCCCCCCAAACCACCTTTCAATTGTTCTTCAGTACTCAACAGAGAAGCAAAGAAAGGGCACAAGCCCTTAAAAGTCATATGCTTCCCCTCTCACTACGCAGCACAGGGTCAAACACAAGGAACACCAGACCTATTCAAATGATCTACTTTCTATTTGGAAACAAAATCCATACAGAGGCTATGCTCTTCTGATTCTCAAGAATAACCAACTATTTACCTTTCAGTTTGTAGGAATTTGTGGACAGGTTTCCCCTCCGTGCAATATGCTCTCCTTTGGCACACTCAGGATATTTACACAAAATTGGCACCTGGAATTTGCATAAGGGATTATTCAAATGAATGCCTGTAGCTTTCACTCTAACTTTCTCCACCATAAAAGCAGAAAAAACCACATTCCCGCCCTATATTTCTACCTGATCTCTTCCTTTATTCCCAAATCAGGAAGCCTGCCAGTGCCTCTTTGATATTCTGTATCTCAGAACATAGGGTGAGGCACATCCTATGATAATCGCACTTTTTTTTCTTGGAGATCAGAATACATAGATCCATCAAACATATATATATCCTCAGCTCAGACATTCTTGCCTCTTTGGGTTAGGTCAATCTGTGACGTCCAAATCACAGAATGACAATTGAACAGCTTGGTTATTCTGGTTTGTTATTTTGGTTTTGAAGGCAATGGGGCGCCAGCTGTACCACAGGAGAACAGGACTGTCAGACACATAGATGAACACCATTTATTGGGGAAGAGTCAACATGGTTTTTGTAAAGGGAAATCAGGCCTCGCATATTTACTAGAATTCTTTGAGGGGGTCAACAAGCATGTGGACAAGGGGGATCCAGTCGATATAGTGTATTTAGATTTTCAGAAAGCCTTCGACAAGATCCCTCACTAAAGGCTCTTAAGCAAAGTAAGCTGTCATGAGATAAGGGGAAAGTTCCTCTCATGGATCAGTAACTGGTTAAAAGTTAGGAAACAAAGGGTAGGAATAAATGGTCAGTTTTCAGAATGGAGAGAGGTAAATAGTGGTGTCCCCCAGGGGTCTGTTCTGGGACCTGTACTGTTCAATGCACTAATAAATGATCTGGAAAAAAGGGTAAACAGTGAGGTGGCAAAATTTGCAGATGATACAAAACTACTCAAGACAGTTAAATCAAAAGCAGACTGCAAAAATTACAAAGGGACCTCACAAGACTGGGTGATTGGGCAACAAAATGGCAGATGAAATTCAGTATCGATAAATGCAAAGTAATGCACATTGGAAAACATAATCCCAACACTACATATAAAATGATGGGCTCTAAATAAGCTGTTACAACTCAAGAAAGAGATCTTGGGAGTCATTGTCGATAATTCTCTGAAAACATCCATTGAACGTGCAGCGGCAGCCAAAAAAGCTAACAGAATGTTGGGAATCATTAGGACAGGGATAGATAATAGGACAGAAAATATCATATTGCCTCTATATAAATCCACGGTATGCCCACTTCTTGAATACTGTGTGCAGATGTGGTCGCCCCATCTCAAAAAAGATATATTGGAACTGGAAAAGGTACAGAGAAAGGCAACAAAAATGATTAGGGGTATGGAACAGCTTCCATATGAGAAGAGATTATTAATAAGACTGGGACTATTCATCTTGGAAAAAAGAGATGACTAAGGGGAGATATGATAGCGGTCTATAAAATCATGACTGGTGTGGAGAAAGTAAATAAGGAAGTGCTCTCATAACACAAGAACTAGGGGTCACCAAATGAAATTAATATGCAGCAGTTTTAAAACAAACTAAAGGAAGTATTTCTTCAAGCAGTGCACAGTCAACCTCTGTAAATCTTTGACAGAGGATGTTGTGAAGGCCAAGTCTATAACAGGGTTCAAAAAAGAACTTGATAAGTTCATGGAGGATAGGTCCATCAATGGCTATTAGCCAGGATGGGCAGGGATGGTGTCCCTAGCCTCTGTTTGCCAGAAGCTGGGAATGGGCAAAAGGGGGATGGGTCACTTAATGATTACCTGTTCTATTCATTCCCTCTGAAGCACCTGGCATTGACCACTGTTGGAAGACAGGATACTGGGCTAGATGGATCTTTGGTCTGACCCAGTATGGCAATTCTTAAGTTCTTATCACATCAAGGGTCCATCAAATCTGTAATCCTGTAATAAACAGAGGGAGGTGGAAAATACCCTTCTGTTCAATGCTCTACATGGGAGAAAGATTCCTTCTTATCCCCTAGACCAAGTAGAGGAAGTCTTGAAGCACAAGATTTCATTACCCCATCTCAACATGCATATAACCATAAATGCTATTGGTTATTGTTATCCAGTATTTTAATATCTGGCTAGTGTATCTGACTAATGCTGCTGCACAAAATAAATCATATTAATAAAAACAGACTCCCTAATACAATAATGCTCACTGATGCTAACACCCACCATGCAAGTTTTAGATCTGATCAAATTAGTATAACGTGATGTTCCACACAGTAAATACAATGAGATTAGAGATGGGCGAGATGATTGTTGAATACTGAGTAAAATACCCTCTCTTGCAGAATATTTTCTGCTTTACTCAGACACTTTAGGTGGGTTAATTTCAGGGTTTTCGCTAGTCGCCAAATATGGCCCTACCTATCACAACAGAAAATACATTTGAAATGAATGCTACATAATCAAAGTCAGCATGTCATGGTCTGAGCATGGAATCCAGGAAATCTTGAGTTCTAACCCCAAATCAGCCACTGATTTACTCTGCAGCATTTACCACACATATCTGTGCCTATTAAAGCTGCTGGAAACCTTTTCACTGACTTTAGTGAGAGAAAGATTTGGCCTTTATTGTCTCTGTATCTGAGTTTCGTTACCTGTAAAAGGAGGATACTAACTTACTTTCCAGGGCATTTTGTGAAGTTTGGTTAATATAACACACTGAAAATATAAAAGTGTTACAGAGTAATGTAATATGATATTGCAAAATGAGGACATACATTTGTATGGTGAGCCTTTAGGGAGAGTTGGAGTAGGCAGCAGAGAATTTATAATGCTGAAAGCTATGGCGAACAGCTGAGATTTATTACATTTAGAAATGAAATTGCACATTTTTGCAGATTGCTAAAGGCCTGATTCAATTCCCACCAAAGTTAATAGGAACTGGACTGTGTCCTCATTAAGGTAACACTGTGAGCTCAGTTTGAAGAATGGGCTGTCGAAAGAGGCAACTCTGCACATAAAATGGACAGTTCTGACCGAAGTGCTCACTGACATGAGCAAGTGAATGATTTATCGGCACAATTCAGGCCAAGTCGTTTGAAAATTTGGCCCAGCCACACTTACTAAAAAAATAAAGATTAACTGTCAAGTTTTTCACTTCTAGGTAACTTAAATATAGCACGTATATAGGTTTGCAAATAAAGGCGTGAATCTGCAATAGGTAACAAGTGCACAGCTATTAACAGACTGTGGCACTATAGTGTTAGACAGTCAGCATTTGCAGGTTCCTTTAATCACATACCTATCAGATGGTGGATGGCATACAGTAATTTTTTCACTACACTACATCTCAGTAGCAGTTCTGACAATTTCAGCTGGTGCTTCCTATCGGAGGAAAAATAGTGAAGAATTCACATCCAGTGAAAAAGGAAAACAAACAGCACGTTGACAGTACTAGCAGAATAAACTGAGTTCAACTTTTATGTGAAAATTAAATAAGCTTTGCTAAACATTAACAGAGGCTGAAAAGTATCTCCTCCGCTGGCACAAAAAAAAAAAATATATATATATATATCCGGGGCTTCAAAAGTTCACATTGTCAGATAGTGAACAGTTTTGTTGACTGCATGACTCAGCAAACATTGCTACACTGAACGATGACAACGTATTGAGTGTTAAATACAATGAGATCAGAAGCCCGCAGAGTTCAATCAGGTGACTTGTCAGCTGGCGTAAACAGAGTTTATTATATAAGAGTTCTAGAGAATGTTTTCAATAAAAAGGAAGATATTGGGTTTTTTGATATTCCAGTGCATTCTGAGTGAAAGGGCCTCACAAGAAGAGCCTGCCGCAGCATGCCATGGGCAGTTGGAAAGCTTGTGACATTGTCCCTTTCTCCCTTGCCCCTCCCTTCTGGATGTGTGTTTTGGTAGAAAGAAAACAGGGAGATTCTTCAGAGCCCTAGACTCTCCCTCCTCTTTACCCCACACTATTTTCCCCTTTCACTCTTCACAAACCTGACAGGCCTAGGCCTAGCAGACTATCACTTTGATTCCTGGAGCCTGTGCAACTTGTCAGAAAGGTTCTAGCCTTGGGCAGAGACGGTACCTGCAGCACAATGCACTCTCTCCCTGAAGGGCTCTCCTAGCCCATTCCAGCCCGAGGGAAATGGAGCATGTGTGTTAAACTAGGGGTCCTCCACATGGTGGAGAGCAGTCTGCTAGGCCAGGCCTAGTATCAAGCACTCAATACATATTTGTCTCTCTCCATTATTGGTAACAATTTGGAAATAAACCCTTCCCTAATTTATCTTTTTACACGTGGACTATGGAGTCTTGCACCTCTGTAGTAGGTTGCTGGTTTCAATCCAGCCCCAGTAACTACCTTCTGGAGTTTCTCAGGTACTGTGTGAGATGGAATAATACAACGACAATTTATTTTACACGTAAATTTCCTCGGAGCATTGCACAGCCCTAAAACCAACACAATAATATAAATGTCAAGTTCTTTTACTAAACCAAGTTACTTTAGAGATGTTTGTCCCTCTTCACTCAGTCTCGTTTTTCTACCCACCCTTCAGCATTATTTGTCTTTACCCAGGAAAAGTTATAGTTTAAATCTGAAATATTTATTAGGGCATGAATTTTTTTACAGCAAAAAGAAAAAGGGACAAACAGACAGATGACTTATGACTTGGAATCTTTTTAAGACATGGCTTCGCAAATGATGTTCTTCCCTCATATGGCAACTGGGTGCTGACCATGGCCAAATCGTAACAGGCCAACTTCTGCTCTCAGTTGAAACCAGTGGAACTGCACAAGTGTAAGTGACAGCAATACTTGGCTTGTATTATATGCCTGGCCTTGCATCAGTTACTCATGTGAGCAGGTTTAACTGTATCTAAGGCAGATTTGCAAATGTTCTTACAATTAACAGCAACATCAGATCCAAAATGTTTTAGTGACACAATAAACAAATGGGACACATTGAACTAGCAGTATGAACTATGGCTGTTGATAGCACATTATGGGATAGAAATGTACAGTTCAGCATGTGAGACCTGCAGGGAAGAAGATCACCCTGGTCTACAACACTTCCTACCAGCCAGGGTACATTACACCAAAGGTGTAGGTAAAGGAGGCGGTGAGGGGTTGGGAGATATACTTATCAAGAATAAAGGATCATAGGATGTCTTGCAACTAGTGTACAGTTTGGGATCTTAATTGCAGTATGCTATATACACTGCACTGCCTCGGCTTCTCCTGTAATGAAAGCCTCATCGTAACCATCACTTTCTTTCTATTTGAATTACACCCCTTATTCCAAAGATCTCTAAGCACCTCACAAACATTAACTACCTCTTCTGAGGTAGATATTTAATACAGTTAATTTACATATTTAATTATATAATTATACATAAATAATAATAAAATACTTTGCACATATATAGCACAGTCCAGTTGAGGATCTCAAAGCACTTTACAGACATTAATGAATCAAGCCTCCCAGCCCATGTGTGGGGTAAGTAAATATTTGCCCCAGAGAGGATAAGGTGCTCATTTTCAGAGGTGCTAATAACTTGCAGTTATTTCAATTACAACACTAGGTGCCCAGCCACACCTTAACTATACTGCCCAATGAACCAAAAGTGAGACAGTAGCACAGACAGAAATAAAACTCATAAGTTCTGATACCCAGTTCACCGCACTGACCACGACATGCACTGCTTCCTTTTTCTAGTGTCTCCCTCTTAGTTTTTTAGATCCAGCATAATCAGTGATGCTGTTCACATCACTCCTACTGTCAAAATACCTTTATCAATCCATGGCAGGTCCAGTTCAAACTCCACGCTTTATATTCAACACTTTTTATAGTGTATGTAGCAAGAATGCCGTATTTTTGTCTCAGGCATTGGGTCCTACATCCAAGGGCAAAGATCCAACACAAAGACATAAGCTAACATCAGTGCTTTTGAAAGCAGAAATTCAAAACCACATCAGCACCATAAATTTACGGGATGAGGGTGAATTCCAAACTCAAGGGGCACAAGTGGCACAGCTGTGCACCTCTCAGACATAAGTTTAAAAGCCAGAAGCTTTGCAGCGTTACCCTTGGATTTCCCTGAAAAACTGATAACTTCCTGGACTGAAGCTGAGAAAGAAAAAAAAAGAATGATTTTAACAATGCCAAAGGTAATTTCTGTAATTTACATGGTAGAGGGAAAAAGGATTCAGGCTATACAGCATGGAAATAGAACAAAGTTTTAGTAGGGTAAATTCAGGACATATTGTACACAGCAATAACACCCTTAGAGTGCCTTGTTAATTTCAGTTTTTAATGATTATATCAAACTTTTGATGTGTATTATGCTGGACACATTTTTTCCCATCCTCTCCTGGGTGATCTGCACTGCAGGCAAAAGAAACCCAATAACTAATACCAGCATGGTAGTACAGTAGAACAGTAGAGTTACAAACTGACCAGTCAACCACACAGCTCATTTGGAATCAGAAGTATACAGTTAGGCAGCAGCAAAGACAAAAGAAAAAAAAGAAAAGAAAAGCAAATACAGTACAGTACTGTGTTAAACATAAATTACTAAAAAATAAAGGTTTCAGAGCAGCAGCTGTGTTAGTCTGTATCCGCAAAAAGAAAAGGAGGACTTGTGGCACCTTAAAGACTAACAAATTTATTTGAGCATAAGCTTTCGTGGGCTACAGCTCACTTCATCGCACGTAAAAAATCCATTACAATCTTCATACCACACAGACTATGCTGACAGCTTGTGCCACACACTCTCAAGGAATGCATCCGATGAAGTGAGCTGTAGCTCACGAAAGCTTATGCTCAAATAAATTGGTTAGTCTCTAAGGTGCCACAAGTCCTCTTTTTAAAAAAAAAATAAAGGGAAAGTTTAAAAAAAAGATTTGACAAGGCCAGGAGACTTTCTGTGCTTGTTTCATTTAAATTAAGATGGTTGAAAGCAGCATCTTTCTTCTGCATAATAAAGTTCCAAAGCTGTTTTAAGCCAATGTTCAGTGGTAAACTTTTGAAAGAACAACCATAACGATTTGTTCAGAGTTACGAACGTTTCAGAGTTGCGAACAACTTCCATTCCTGAGGTGTTCGTAACTCTGAGGTTCTACTGTAATAATGTTTGGGATTTGGGTATGAAATGCACCTAGTTTGTGTTTGTGTATTACAGAAGCCCTCTGTTTACATTCCACGGTAAAGCTCCAACACGTAACGGCAGCATATCTGTTTTCCAGTCCCAAAAAACTTGCAACAGGCTTCCAGCATAGAGGGAAGTTGTGTGTATGCTGCACAGAGGTGGACATAGTGTACCAGATGTGAATTACAAGTGCAAAGGATACATTGTTGCAAACTTCTAAAAGAACCTGCACGCTCAAGCAGCAGTGGAAAGTTTAAAATGCGGGTCATGCAGCTCAGGGTAGGTTTAAAGATGTGCGAACCAGCTGAATAAAAAAAACATTGCCCTTCCTCCCCCAACAAATCTTTACACCAAAATTGAACTGAATCTTTCTGACCCCTTCTCTCTCTCTTGCCTTGGAGTCCCCCCCGTCTCTCACCCACCCTGTGGCATAAGCTCCCCAAATGCTTTATCTTGTTTTATCTTTCGTGGGTGGGAGACTTGTCCTCAGATCCTACCTCTTCAGGAAATGTCTGGCTCACCCACTCTCTCATATCATTTTTGAGGGAAACAGGGAGAAGGGATTTGGTAGAAGGTGCTGGCCCAATCAATCATTTCCCCTGAAATCCAAGATGCCGAAAAGGGCTGTCATGGGAGCAGTGGGGGTACGGGGGGGGGGTATTTAAAACAGATCCTGACTCTTGCACAAGTCAGACTTTGTCCCTTCCTAGTCACCAGGGACTCCTGAGTAATGGCCTTTGGGTAATTCATTGTTTTTTAGGAAACTACTTTTTCTTGCCAGTTTTTAAGCCCAGCGGAATATTCTAGATCCGCAGTGACAGGGCATGAGTAATCGTTCCCTCATTAAACTACTAAGAGAGTCATAAAACAAAACAAATTGTTCACCTCCCCAGTGTTTTTCCTTTTTGCTTTCCCTTTCCAAGTCCTGTAGTGCTCACAAACATCCAAAGTATCCAAGTGACGTAACCTTTAGTCAGTACCCTAAAGGAAACAACATGTCCTTCACATGTTGCTCAATTCTCTGATATGCTCTTGCAGTCATTAAAACAACAAGGAGTCTGGAGGCACCTTACAGACTAACAGATTTATTTGGGCATAAGCTTTCCAGAGTAAAAAAACACTTCTTCAGATGCATTTTGTTGTTCTTGTGGATACAGACTAACACGGCTACCCCCTGATTCTTGCAGTCATTGATTTTGATGGAGGGTGGTTTGAGTTGTTTTTTTAATCGAGAGCCAGATCTTCCTGAGTGAAATGTGTGCATTCAAAATCAGACGTGAAGAGCTCACCTGGGCTGTGGACTGTGCTGTGCTGGCTGCTGTCCTGCAATTCTAGGTATACCTGTGGTCTTCATGCAGAATACTTTACAAAGCCACCAGCCTGAGTAGCTGGGTGCACTGGGGAGATCTGTGGAGATGTGTAGGACAAGAAAGAATCTGCCCTCTACCCACGGGCAGTGCTCTGTGGATACCACTGCACCCTCAGTACAGCAATACCCTCTGCTGCTAAAGCATGCCCCTCTGTAGGAAACAACGTCCAGAGGATCCGTCCTGCCCACAAGTTTCCTGGAGGCTGGGGCACAGCTTTGTTCCTCTTCTTTGTGTAAGTTCCCAGCATCCTCCCTCACCACCTGCACAGTGGAACTGTGCGGTTCCATTTTTGTCAGGGTCCTCTGTGCCTTTACAGTGGGATAGGTAGCTTTCCCCTCTTGATATCTGGGAATCAAGATTTTTTTGAACCATGAAAGTATCTCTTTGAAAAGCCACATTTTCAACAGCAGCCTCTAAGAATGCAGGCACAAGTCTCAGCCCTGAGTTTTTGCCCACAAGAAAGCAGTTTGTTCTCACAGTGCTGTTTTTTTGTAAGCACAAGAACCCAGACACCTGGCACTGTACCCACAATTTCAGAGACCAAGCTGAGGTCCCTTTGAAAATTTGGTTCTCTTTCTTCTGAGCCAACCTCCAGAGGGCAGATGTATCCTGTGCGGTGACTCAGATCTTTGGAGAATGGAGAAGATACAAACAGGAGAACCATTTCCAAAGTCCAGAGACTTTAGAGAGAGAGAGAAAAAGAAAATAACATTAAAAACCATGGACTGTGGGATGTTAAAGCTTGGTAATACTTACACTGAGCACTTTATATCCTGAAAGCCCTGCACAAACATTAATTAATCCTCACAACAATCCCTTCAGGTAAATGCATTATCCCCATTTTACAGTTGGCAAGAGCAGTTTCTGTGATTTTCCCAATGCCACTGAGAGAGTTTGTGTCAGAGTTTTGTTAAGAAGCAGGAGTTCAGAGTCCTGCACCTGAGTTTGGACTATTAGATTGAACTCAGGGATCAGATCCTTAGCTTGTATAAACTGGCATTAAAGGAAATGGAGCTATGTCAATTTACACCACTGATGGCCCGGCTCTCACAGTTCATCCTGAAAATTGTGACTTATTTTAGGGAAATTGTTGCTCCTTTGGCCTAAATAAAGGTTGGAAAGCAGCAAAGAGAAAACCATCTCGGGTTGCACTGGCATTTAAACGGCAAAGATTTGAACTCTCCCTTGTAATAAGCACCAAAAAGCAAATGAGTGAGGTAAACTTGGGAGTTCCAGACCACAGCTCACAAAATGTTTTGCAACGTGGTGAGAAGGCCCATTAAACCTACCAAACTCATTGACCTCACAGGTTTCTCCAGGCCAATTCCAGAAAACAAAACAGCTGCATTTTTAGTTCCCTGGTAAAAGGAATTATTGACACACTGTTCAGTCCAGCTCTGGTTTGGGAGCTTTGAAGAGACAAGTCCAGACACTTGAGATGTGCAAAAAGACAGTAGAAAGTAAAGTGATTAAAATCAACAGGAGTTTGCCTGATTAAAGACTAAGTACCTCATTCCGGCACTATATTCTTGTCATCAAAAGTTCAAATAACTTTAGTTGTGAGCCTACTTTACTGCACCATCCTTAAGAAAGACCACAGCTGTGCTAATGAAAATAATGGTGTAACAATTAATGGTCTTACTGTGTAGCTGATAAAATGACAACACTGTGCCTTGGATGCGGTGAAGTGCTCGAAAAGACTGAAGCTGTTTAGTTTAGAGAGGTGAGACAAATAAGAGGGAACAGGATAAAGGTATACAAAATAATTAACAGAAAAGAGATAATAAGCCCGGCACTCCTATTCATCCTCTTAAGGCAAGAGCAAGAGGATATTCAATGAAATTAGAATTATTATTATTATTTAACGTTTATATTATGATAGAGTTTAGAGGCCAACCATCTCAGGGAGGCATTGTGTCATGTCCTGCACAAATATATAGAAAATGACAGCCTCTGCCCTCAAAAACTTACAATCTAGAGAGGAAATGCACTCTAAAATATTTTTATACAGTGCATAATTAAGCTGTGGAACTGAATGTTACAAGAGCCCATTGAGGCCAAGACCTTTATAGCAGAAGTTCTTAACCAGGGGTCCGGGGCCCCCTAGGGGGCCTCGAGCACGTTTCAGGGGGGCCTCCAAGCTGGGCCAGAATTAGACTTGCTGGGACCCAGGGCAGAACGCTGAAGCCCCACCGCATGGGGCTGAAGCCCAGGTCCCTGAGCCTTGTCAGCCGGGGCTGAAGCTGAAGCCTGAGCAATGTGGCTTTTTGGGAACCCCTGTGGCATGGGGCCCCAGGCAATTGCCCGGCTTGCTACCCCGTAACGCCGGCCCTGGCTTTTACATGCAGAAAACTAGTTATTGAGGCACAAGTGGGCTGTGGAGTTATTATACCATGTTGGGGGGGCCTCAGAAAGAAAAAGGTTGAGAACCCCGGCTTTATAGGATTCAAAAATAAGGACTGGGCATTTATATGGATAATGATAATGTCCACATTAATTACACTGGATAGGGTGAAAGAAGTAGAAACTCTCATGCTTCGGGCTTAAGTCAACTGCTAACTGCCTATAGTTAGGAAGACATTTTCCCTATAGGAAAGTTATTTAATAATTATCCATCACAGGGATTCTAAAACCTGGGAAGGATCTGGTACTGGCCAATGTTGGAGGCAGGATATCCAATGAGATGGGGATCACTGGTTTGAACCAATGTTATAAGTCTTGCATTCCTAGCAGATCATGCAGTTAGGTTTTTTTTTTAAATAACTGATCTACTGAAACAACAGAGTTGGAGAGCATTTCCAAAGCAGACTTATCCAAGTTAGATCAGCTGATGGATCCTTGTTTAAAATACAGACTGAATGACAGGATCCTGAGACTGACAAATTTTAGAATGAGGTCACCTCCGCTTCCATTCAGAAATGCAATCAGCAAGTATACTTAACTCGTTTATTAAAAACTCCTTTCAAAAAGGGACACTGTACATTTATAATCTCTACAGGAACCTAATGAAAAGTGTCACACTGACTTTGTTGATTTTTTTCCAACACAGAGGTGATAGAGAGGCTAGCAGAAAACTGGCAAATTAAAAACAAAAGCTGAATTTTCTTAGGCGTTACAATATCTTTGATTCAAAGCTCATCCTTTCCCCCTATTCCCTGAAGCAATGACATTTTAATACCCTAGAGCAGTGGTGGGCAACCTGCAGCCTGTCAAGGTAATCTGCTGGCGGGCCGCAAGATAGTTTGTTTACATTGATCGTCTGCAGGCACAGCCACCCGCAGCTCCCAGTGGCTGCGGTTCGCCATTCCTGGCCAATGGGAGTTGCGGGAAGCATCAGGGTACCATCAGGGTAATTCAGGTACCATCAGGGTAATTCATCAGGGTAATCCATTGGCGGGCTGAGTGCATGCTGGTGGCTGCCCATCACTGCCCTAGAGCAATGGCAAAAATCATCTAAAATTCTATTTTATAATAAATTATGCTTGGTGGTTAATAAATTTGTTTTCTAAAATAGCAACAATTATGGGAAGTATGGATAATGGGTCATATTAATCCTGGCATAATCCAATTGACCATTGGTCCAATTAGTTCCTTCTGGACAAACTGCCAATTCTGCAAAAATATTAGGTGTGGCTACACTCCAATATTTCAGTAAAAATTTAGTGACATGATAATCATCATAGGGATCTGCGTGAAACTGTAGTGTTCCCTTATAATAATGCTTTTATTTTTTAAAGTTATTTATAATTTGTTTAATCAGATTTATCATAGGGGATAACACAGTGGTCTAAACTTAGAACATAAGAATGGCCATACTGGATCAGACCAGTGGTCCATCTAGCCTAGTGTCCTGTCTTCCGACAACGGCCAATGCCAGATGCTTCAAAGGAAATTAACAGAACAAGGCAATTATCAAGTGATCCATCCTCTGTCATCCAGTCCCAGCATCTGGCAGTCAGAGGCTTAGGGACACCCTGCTTCAGCAGTCTTCATGCAGTCAAGACTCCTGCTGAAGCCAATGGAAGTTTTTGTCTGTATAAGGACAGCAAGAGCAGGTCCCAGGTTTGGAATACTCAGACTTCCTGGAATCAGTCTAGAATCCCAGCATTGTTTAACTCAGCCAGTCATCCCTCTGAAGAAAATAAAAGAAGTTACATGGAGGTTATATGAAGGTCTGGTTTCTGTGTGGACAATAAAGGCCTCACTGCGCTTTCCATAAAAAGGTTTGCTCTAAGTCCTTGCCCACTGGAACATAGAAATTGCCATACTGTATTTACTGGCAAAACTTTACGTATGGGTTAGGCCTTAGAGGCTGGCTTATGCCCTGAAATTTGAGGGTCTGTATCACTCCCAAATCTTGTTTGCTTTTTAAAATATTTACTATTATACCTCCAAAGTTTCCCTACTGCTGTGCAGTATTTTGTGTGCCTGTTCTCTGCATGGCTGCTGCTCTCACTTCAGAGGTGGCTGAATTTTCATAGTGGCTGTCTGATTCTCACCATAAAGCTGGTGTAACTTCACTGAATTCAGTGGAGTTACAGTAATGTAAAACTGATATAAAAAAGTAGAGAATTAGGCCCAAAATGTGCATGAAGCATTTTTGAGATCCTTAAGGGATGAAAGGTGCTATTACCTTCTCAGCACGGTAAGTATCTGTTTGTCACCTATACTGAATCTGGAAATGTTACTTAAGCCTGGAGATTTTCTTCTTCTGTAACGTAAGGTGAAGGATTTGCTCATGACCAGGACGATACACAAGAATGGCATGCCAGGAAAGACGGGCACTGCACAAAGGGGAAGTGGAAATCACAGGGTTAAGAGACAAGCATCCAGAAATAGATTCCAGAGTCATGAAGCAGGCTACATGACTCAGCACAGGAAGACCACCTGCCCACTGATGACATATCAAAACTGATAACAGTCAGGAAGGCAGCTGGGCATTCTGGATGGATAAAAAGGTGCCAGGCAGCAGCTGAGAACAGCAGGGGAGAAGGCGTGAGGGAATGAAACAGAAGCCCTTAAACCACAGAGGTCCATTTTGTTAAATTTATTTAAATCCTAATTTTGTGAAGTGCTGAGCTCCTCCAACTCCCTTTGGGACGAAATGGAGTTGGAAGGCTCAGTACCACATAGAATTAGGCCCTTGTACAGTAAGTTAAGTATTTATTTTTACTTTAATATATTTTTACAGCTGGGTTGATTTTATTTATTTAACAGGGAGGTCACATGGCTTGTTGTAATACAGTGAGTGGGTCAGAGTATCCTGCTTCCGTTCCAGTAGATCACAAGGTATCCTTAAGAATGGGAGCCATTAAACAACTCATATTACCAATTCTCATTTCCACCAGTCCCCAAAACGCTCTAGTGTTTGTCTGTATAACAGAAGTTGGGTAAATAAGTTGAGAGCAGTATTTTATCTTTTGGACAAAGACCCAATTTTAGTTGAACCAGTTCTCGGATAGGAGCATGTGCAGCGACACGCAGCTTGTAAATTCAGTTGCTACACTGATCTTACAAGATATACACCCATGTATCAAAAGCAAAATCAAGCCCTTAGAAGTTATATACTGAAGTATCAGTTAGATTGGGACAAAAGAATAGTAAATTGGAGACTTACTGGAAACATGGGAAGAATTTTATGGAGCTCTTCTAATACCGATATTGGATCAGATCCTCAGTTGGTTGAAGTCAATGGAGGAATGCCGATAGACACCACCTAAGCATATGGATCATAGGGTTCTGGGAGCTTTTAATTTATTATTGTTTCTAAAGCAGTTTGAGAGGGAACCTGTTCTGGTGCTTCAGAGCACAAGGCTGGGATTCTACTCTTAGCTCTGCTACCGACTTTCTGTGTGACCTTGGATAACTCATTTGGCGCCAGAATATCTAAAGAGCTCAACTCTCAGACACATGAATGACAAGATTTTCAGAAGCGTTCAGCAGCCAGCAGCTGTCATTGCAAACAAGGATTGAGCACAGTGGATGCTGCTGCCGCTAAAAGCACTTTTGAAAATCTGGCCATTAAAGTATGAGAAGGGACAATGTGCAGTTCCTTGTTTCAACATCCCTAATTCAACTTTGTTCAGCGAACAAGTATAAAGATGTGATTTTTCCCTAATATTATACTTATTAATCACTTACATTGTGACAGACCCTAAAAGGCTCAATAATTCAGGATCCTGTTGTTCTATGCACTGTACAAACATAACGAACGACAATCCTTGCCTTAAAAAGTTTATTATTCACGTTTCTTTTTTTCAGGGTTCATTTTTTCAAGGTTTATTTTTAGCAATTTTTGAGTTTTATGTAGATATCCAAAAATCAAGGGTTTCTGGGCTTTCCATGTGTATATTGTAAAAAGTAATGGACATTATATGTTATATACATTACCGTAATGGGAAATCTCGTTGTCATGTTCCCTAATGTGCACTTTACCATAGTACTGTTTCAAAACAGCACTGTTAAAACACAGTAGGGAATCTTTAGTGAGCACCAGAAGGGTCTACTCAAACCAATTAATGTGCAACACTTAGTGTGACTTCTGAAGTGGACTCCCATAGTCTGCATTACTGCTCTATGTAAACAAGCCCTTAGATACAAGTAACCATTTCTGGTGTTTTTCCAGTGTTTATTAGGTTAACATATATATATATATTTTTTAACCAGGGATGTTTTATCGGTGTTTATCATTTAAAACCTAAAATTAGAAACCCCACTGATAATCAAAAGTCATTCTGTCAAACTCTGAATTCAAGATCTGAAGGTCAAGCTGGGCTTTTTTCTGGCTTGTGCATCATCATCCAGAATAAAACTTTTGTGAGACAAACTGGTCTTTGATGAAGATGTATAATCATTATCCCAAGCTTTGAAAATGGTTTACTGCACAGTTCTCAAGGAAGGACATGGCTGTGTTCATGCAAATGATTGTGTAGCAATCAGTAGTAGTATTCAATAGTGTTACTTGGTAGTTGATGCATCACCTCAGACACAGTTCTTCAGTGGGTCTGCACAGGAATATCAGAGGCTACGATCTGACCTGAAATTGTAATTTAGGACCAAATCTTAAAAGGCACTAGAGCACTGTCCAACAAGTATTAACTTTGATGGGAGAAGAAAATATCAGATATCTCTCAGGATTCGTCTTTAACAATTCTCTTGATGCATCAGCTGGAATAGATTCCAGCTCTAGCTCTCATAATGAGTATGTTTACACTGCAGTCAGAGGTGTAACTGCAGCACACAAGAATGCACCTGAGTAACCTTTGATCTAGTAACAAAAAAGTGAAGTGGTGGCAATAGAGGTGGCAGCATGGACTCTACAAGCCTGCCTGGGACCCTGAGCGGGAACTGGGGTGGCTAGTCTGTCCTGGCTTCACTGCTATTGTTATTCAAGCTATTTAGATCAAAGCTAGATTGGGTATGTCTACATGTGCTGCAATCACACCTCTGATTGCTGGCTCTGGGGAGCTCACAGGGATAGAAGAATAGTAAAATCTTATTTTTGTTAATGGAGTCAAAAGCTATTCTGAATTGCTTTTCAAATTAGAATAGCATGCGAAGCATTTTGTGCACTGGATTCCCCATCTACAAAACAAGAATAATATATATTCTTACCTACTTCACAGGGATGCCATGAATCCTAACACATTTATGTGTGTAAAATGCTTTGAGATTCCTAAATGAAAAGGTGTTAGAGAAGTGCACAGTTTCATCAGACGTACCCATTTTAAAATATGACAGCAAATGAGACATCCTCTATGCAGTCACAGTGTAAGACAGCAATTGCCACTGAAACACGTGGCTGATCTTATGAAGAAAAAACGAAATAAGAGCAACTCAGACAAAACCACAGAATCACAAGGGAAGGATGCTGTATTTCTCTCCTCCCCATACCCTCCTTTTCAGCATTTTAAACAGTTTCAACATGCTAAAAATATTTCTGACTTCTTCTTTAAGCTGTCTGGTTGTTTTCCTACAGACACTATCTCAGCATTACACTGCACGGTCAATACAACTGACAACATATAATTGTTTCCTTGCTCCTGAAATCCATCGAATGTTTCCCCTTCACTTTCTCTTAGGCATGTTGCACTCACAAGAAAACAGGCCAGGAGGTAATAAAAGTGTTAGGAAACAACAGCTCTAGAAGCTAAATACGTTGTACTGAACATGCAATGAAAAATACACAAACAGACCATACACTTCAGTTTCATATTTAAAGCAACAACTGATGTGATAGGAGTTCTACACGGGAGCAATCAAACAAAAGATACTAAAAAGAAGGGATCGATTTCTGAGCAACGCACCTTCTGACCACGCTGTTCTGACCTCTCTCGTTAGCTTCTAAAATATTCTTCTTCATTGCATAATCTTGAGCCTTGGAAAAGTCAGAGCCTCCCAGTTCCTTCTTGGCAGTCACCTGCCCCTACAGGTAGTAAAAGATTAGAGGGATCAGAACCACAGTGTTTATGAAACGTTACCCCCTACCCCCACACACAGTCTAAAGTTCATTTCTTATTCTTAAAATGGAAGGAGTAGTTGCATAAAAACAACAACAACAAAAAACAAAAAAAACAAAACAAAACAAAACACCACAGTGAAAAGGAAGCACACACCCATATGGAAAAAAAAGGCAAAGATGAGGCATGCTTACTGTAATGCTTTGTAAACCCTGTCACTAGCAGAGACAAACACCACTAGACGGAACAGAAGGAAAAACTCAGGGTTTGTTTTCTCTAAACTTGCACAACCTCGCAACTGTGCGTCTCCTGTTGAAGACACACACAACTATCAGACCACTCTTGTGATCATCTTTCTTAGGTTTAAGATCACACACGACAGCGAGCAAGATTCTCTCCTCAGTTAATGCTATAATTACTTGTATTTCTAAAAGACACATGCAACCCTATTGATTGTAACTAAGGGCAGAACATTTGGCCCAGCAAACCCATTCCTACAGTGGGTTAGCGTCAGAGGAGAAGGCCGATATGCAGCAATAATAAAAAAACCCTCATAGTTCTATAATTAGGGCTCTACCAAATTCACGGTCGATTTTGGTCAATTTTACGGTCATAGGATTTTAAACATCATAAATTTCACGGGTTTAGATACTTAAATCTGAAATTTCATGGTATTGTAACCGTTCGGGTCCCAACCCTAACGGGGGGGGAAGGGGGGGGCAAGACTACTGTAGGAGTGTCGTGGTATTACCACCCTTAATTGTGTGCTGTTGCTGGCAGCGGCACTGCCTTCAGGGCTGGGCGCCTGACGAACAGCCACTGTTCTCCGGCTGCCCAGATCTAAAGGCAGTGCAGAAGGAAAGGTGGCAATACCGTGAGCCCCTAGAATAGCCTTGTGGCAATACCACCCACCCCCACACAACCCTCTTTTGGTTAGGACCCCAATTTGAGAAACACTGGTCTCCCTCATGAAATCTGTATCGTACAGGGTAAAAGTGAACAAAAGACCAGATTTTATGGGGGAGAATGGATTTCACAGTCTATGACATGTTTTTCACAGTTGTGAATTTGGTACGGTCTTGTCTATAATGTCTACCTTACAACACCTTTTTTGAACCTCCAACCTCTTCCAATACTTAAAAAACTCAGCATGGATTACAACAATCAAGGCTGATGTAACAAAAACATCTATATTATAATGAACTGACTAATGTATAAGACGGTCTAGTGGATAGAACAAGAACTGCTCAACTATGTGTCAAAGACTCTATAATGCTAACACAGATTCCCCTTACCTCAAGTGACAGGGACATGTGCTTTTGGAACAGGGAATTATAGATCTGTCTCCACAGTCACTGTGAAATTCCAAACAGCCATGACAAACAGCATAGTACCAGACACCAAATATTAAATGGTTGTAGACTTTTTAAAATAGTTCTGATAACAAAAGGTCTATAGCAGATCAAATTTAGTGCATCTACTGTTGGGCACAAACTTCTGTCTGGCTATGTCTTCACTAAAAAAAAAGGTGTATTTCTTTTCTTTCTTTTCTTTTTAACAGGAGGATAACTAACATTCATTAACTACCCTGCTGTAAAATCTGAGTGGATTCAAGGCACTGAAGTTTGATTTTGCCTAACACCCTCCTGGTAAACACTATGGTGCCTTCTCAGTGGAATAGCGAGTGCGCATTAATTATCCCACAGTAAACACACATCTTTTTGGCAGTTAAGACAAAGCCTATGACTTCCCAGAGTATTCATTCACCTCCATTTAAGGTTCAAAAGGTCTCAGCTTTATTACAATAAAAACTGAAAATGTACTGTGCACAACTTAATATAACTTAACAGGATAGCACAGCAATCACCTTAACAATAGCCCAATTGTAGCTGCCCTGGGAAGGTCACAGCTAGGTCTGTAAACTGACATGGTGAATTAAAAAACAACTATGTATTAGTCACAGTAAACTATTTCCAGTGTTATGGTAGACGTACTCAAGATGAAAAAACTTCTGTTAGTATTTTATAGGTTTTTAAAAAAGGTGTGAAAATTCAAGCCCTACTTCATTGAAAAAAGACAGTTTTGAAGTTTGGAAAATGCTTGTATCCTTGCCGATATCTCCTGAGTTTGATGTATGAGGGTGAAGGATACAGTAGGAATGCCCAGATTTGATCTATCTACCTACCATGTTCAGTACAGGGATGATTTACATAGTCTCTAAAGTGCCAGGCACACCTGCATACTACGGATATACTAATTGAAAAATATCGGATTTGTTGTGCCACCTTGTTAGTGTGCCATGGCCAAATAAAAAATAATCAGTAATTATTATTGTACACACTTCCATAAAATCTTTCAGAAATTGATTGCAAATCGCTTTACAAAGTTGGAGATTATTATGTCCAGCTTACTGGAGAAGTTAAGTGACTTGCCTAAAACTGCACAGTGAGTCAGAGATGGAGTGGGTAACACAACTCAAGTCTCTTGTTTCCTAGCCCTGTCCTCTAACCATGCTAGCCCTGTCATGAAGTCAGCCAATCTGATCTTGCCTAGTGTGCCTGAAGCACTGCCAAATGTTTCCTGTTCTCTACCGTTTCTATGTGTCATTACTGAGCTGCACCATGAAGAATGCTAATAAAGTTGGTTCAACTCTTTAGTTGCATACTTGCCCATCCATTCACCCACTCCTACATTCTCTCCCTTGCCAAACTAATTAAACGCCCACGCACATATTCTCGTAATCACGCACCCACCCAATCGCACATTCTTTCATTCACTTTCCCATTCAGTTACACAATCTTATTCTCAAACACCTTCAGTTCATTCACCTATAACCTTGTACTTTCTATAGTCTGCCTAGCCTAGCCTCTCTCACCACCCAAACCAGCGTGCACTTCTAGATGTACCCTACTCAATTATGCTGCTGTGCTGGCTTCATGGATCCTCTGGCCACTGTCCAGCTTCGCAAGACAGCTGTCCTCTTTTGGGGGGAGGGAGAGGCATTTATTGTGGAGCCAGTCCTTTAGTTCTTTGTGAACAAAACATTTTGCTAAATTCTCTGGGTCCAAACTGAGTAGGCACCCAGTGCCATGTGGTGGCACAGCAGCCTGGAATTAGTTCTCTGTACAGCCCTACAGTACAGCCCAACATTTTAAAAAATGTCCTCAACAAGAGAAATAATGACAACAAAGGACAACTAGGAAGGGAATTGATTTTGTAAAAATAAAAAGTAGGTAAGGGGATACTTGGAAAATTTGAACACATACAAACAGCTGGTCTGGCTGATCTCAGGGTATTATGGGAAATAGTGTATATCTTTTTCATTCACAATTGTTTTTCTCTGTCATTTTCTACACTTGCAATCTGTCTACACTACAGCTTCCACTGTTGCTACAATTGGAGGAGAATTATGGGTTCAAATATTCCCGGTGTAGATGCACTCTAAGGGCTCATCTACATGGGAGATTTTTTGTTATACCAGTTTATATTTTTGGGAAGTTATATTGCTAATGTGAACACTCTTATTCAGAAATAAGAATGGCTTCCAAAGTGATATAAGCTAAAGCAGTAGAACGTACTCTCATACCAGAATGAGTGTCCATGTAGGGAGTTATTTACTGGTATAACTATATGGGTTTAAATTCACACCACCTCTTACTGTAGCCAAGTCCTAAAGGAGCTTAGTTAAATGGTTTCTAAGATTGGCAAATTATCATGCCCTACCCTTTCATATTTGAAGGATATTAATACCAAGGGGAAAAATGATATAGGATGGAACAAGGGAATATAAGCTAGGAATAATATGGTGAAACTAAGAAATAGTAAGTGTAAGCTGAATATCAGGAAAAATCATCTTGCCAGTGAGGTCTGCATGGCTGTGGAATAGACTCCTCAGCGAAGAGGTAAAAGACCAGCACTTAGAATATTTGTAACTATAGTGGAATAAACAGTAGAAAATTTTCTGTAGAGAATATGAATTGCCAAGGAGATGGTCCATATGATCTAATAGATCTTTCCAACTCTTAACATCTATGATTCTTTAATTCCATATATCAGTCCTTATCACAGGGTTGGCAAACATTAGCAGCCACTCTCCTAGCCTCCTGATAATCAAGTTTATAATCAAGATGTACAATTAACATATGATGCTCTAACATAACTGCTTGCAGCCCAGTCAGCACACAACTGCAGCCCATGTGACATTCTCAGGGCCATAAGGTAGTATATATATAGCATGGATGTGGCCCATATAACACATAGAGAGTTGCATATGTGGCCCACAATGGTAAATAAGTTGAGAACCACTGGTCTAACATCTGCCTGTGATAAGTATGCCACTCTGGCATCAGAGCTCTGCATTTCTGTCATTAAAAACATTGACATGAACTGCAGGCCTGTATTCAGAGTAGCGGCCGTGTTAGTCTGTATTCGCAAAAAGAAAAGGAGTACTTGTGGCACCTTAGAGACTAACCATTAAGTAAGCAGCATCAAATTTAAAGTAAAGAAATAATCGTCTCCACTCTAAAAAAGTGCCCAGTGTCACTATTTGACAGGTGTTCTGTTAATATAGAGTCCAATCCTGCCAACACTTACATGTGAAAGTATTTTTATCCAGGTGTGTAAATCTTTGTAGGAATGGACCTATAGTTAACATGTGGAACTTTCAACTAGTTTCTTTTGAAATTTCTAGTTAGAACTTCCTCCCTTAAGGTGAAATGCCAGATTCTCCACTAAACCGCCTATGTATTTTCTTTTCTATTTTCAAGTTATTAGGTAAGTGTAAATATAGCAAGAGAGAAAGCATGAGAAAACACATGGCATAAGAGCATTGCCTATTTATAAGTATGCAGAGGAGAAAAACAGACTATAACAATGGTAAGCCTAAGAGACAGGAAGTAAAGAAGTGGAGAAAAAGTAAAAGACAGAAAAAAACACAAAGGAAGGGGAGAGAGAAACAGAAGAGAGC